ACTGTGCAACGGACAGACCACTGTTTATTTAATTTCCAGTCAAAATGGTACAAGTTATTCATTTTTTGTAGCTGTATAAGAGGAATGGGTGAATATACTAAACACTGAAAAATCAATCAGTTTTGTCATTGGAAATTAAACAATGGTGGTTTCTGACTTTTGCACTGTACTGTATATAGTTGTGTTTTGTTTTTGTTTTTTTTTTCCCTGCTTAGATTTCACAAGTTTAAACACATTAGTACCGCATGTTTATATTCATTCTTTTTTATACATCTCCATGTCCATTGTTTATATACATCACTGCATCCTACTGAAGTAGTTATGCTCTCATGTTCCCTGAATTATCAGGATTCAATGTCAGGTCTGTTGCAATCTCCCAACAAAAGGGGGAAGGAAACATGAAGCTGATCAGTGTTCTGTTAGGACAGTATCCACAATATGCTATGAAAACTTTTTCCTAAATCAGTCTGTTGCCTATTGTTTAATCACAGCACCCCATTTGCTCTGTTCCATCTGTGTGATGGGTTCCTTTTCTTTGTGATGCAACAAAGAAATAATCCTCATCAAACCCAAAGCTTCCTGTATTGTTCTGCAGACTGTCAGAATGACTGTATTTATCTTAGGAACATTATAAAGCGCTTTTCGTTTTTCGTTTGTTTTTTTTTCTCCCTTCTCCATCATGATCCCATTGATTATGATGAACTGGATTTGTTGCGAGTTCCTGGCACTGTTAGCCAGATTTTTGTGCTTTATTGGGCATCAGTTGGTGAGTGAAGAATACAAGAATGTCACATGCTATTTGGACGAAGGTGCAGTTTACATTTTATAACATTGCGCTATGATCAAATTTGTGCTAACATACAAAGATGGCTGCTCCTTTCTCACTGCTTTGAATGTGCTGTTACTGCTAACACTTTTTTTTTTTCATTGCAAGCAGCAAAAATAGACTCAAAGCATAACTGTTTTGATGAAAGGTAGCTAGCTTTTCATTTTCCACGTTAAAATGGTTCCGCATTGATGTTTAGGCCACTTGTTAACTTTTTGAAAATGTGGCACAATTTTTTAAGTCGTAAATAATGGCGCGTCTACATCAGTGATATTAAACTGAACTTGAAGAAAGTTTTGTGTTTTTACATGGATCCCTTTTTCCAATTTTTTTTTTTGATACTGTGCTAAAAAAATGTCACAAAATAAACTACTGTGATGTCATATGGTTGTAATTAAGATGCTGTTTGGTTGTAAGAGCTGCTTTATGGCAGTTTACAGTTTAGTGTTTGAAGACTGGCACCTTGGTGCTCGACGTATAGCTCAGTGTATCTACAGCGATGCTTGGCTGTCATTTGCCAGGCTATGGCTCAAGAATCTGCAGCCTCATTGGTTGCCTTATTCCCACACTGCTTACATGTACTCCTTTCGTTTTTCCCTTATCTGATCTCACAGATAATAAATGGATCATTAGTCAGGGCAGCAGAATGAAGAATGAGTTTAAATAAGTTCCTCTAGCCTCAGGTTATTTGCTGCAGCTGAAGCTGGTACTGCAGAGCACCTCGCCCTGTTTTGCTTATTTTACTTGTTTCTCTTTCTCTCATTCTCTTCAGTTAGAGGAAGCATTGGCTCAGTTTCAGACAGCTCACTGATGCTGGCCTTAAAATACTAGCTAACTTAAACAGGGTTGAGTAGATGGATTATGTTGGATCATTTGTATATTTAATTGTGTGAATAGGAGTCTTCTCTGTTTGCGTCTATTTAAACTGGACATTATTGAAGATCCTTAAAGGGTCTTATATCCTTAAATTGTGCAGTTACAAAACAGTTCTAATTAATTTTGTGGCTGTAATCTCTCTTTATCCCCTAACCCTTTGTTGCTATACCTTTAAGACTTGTGTATGCAAATGAGCTATGTTCTGATTGGCTGCCCTGTATTGTGCCTTATTCAATCCAGGCTGAAACACTTGGTAACTTCAGGGTGAATGGACAGGGCTGAACTGATGCAGGGTGAATAGAGGGAGATGCACAATCCCAATTCCAAAAAATCTGGGACAGGGCCATGTCTACCATTTGTGTAGCATCCCCTCTTCTTTTAACAACAGCCTGTAAATGTCTGGGAAGTGAGGAGACCAATTGCTCGAGTTTGGGAGGATGTTGTCCCATTCTTGTCTGATTCAGCATTCTAGCCGCTCAGCAGTCCTGGGTCGTCTTTGCTGGATTTTTCGTTTCATGATTCGCCAAATGTTTACTATTGGTTAAAGGTCTGGACAACAGGCAGGCCAGTTCAACACCCGGACTCTTCTTCTGTGAAGCCATGCTGTTGTGATGGATGCAGTATGTGGTTTAGCATTGTTTTGCTGAAATATGCAAGGCCTTCCTTGAAAGGAACGCTGTCTTGATGGGAGCATATGTTGCTAAAACCTCTATATACTGTTCAGCATTGATGGTGCTTTTCCAGATATGTAAGCTGCCCATGCCATAGGCACTAATGCAGCCCCAGACCATCAGAGATGCAGGCTTTTGAACTGTGCACTGGATGGTCCCTCTCCTCTTGAGTCCGCAGGACACGGCGTCAGTGGTTTCCAAAAATAATTTCTAATTTTGATTTCATCTGACCACAGAACAGTTTTCTGTTTTGCCTCAGTCCATTTTAAATGAGCTTTGGCCCAGAGAGAGCAGCAGCGTTTCTGGATCGTGTTGATATATGGCTTCTTCTTTGCATCATACAGCTTTCACTTGCATTTGTGGATTGCACGGCGAACTGTGTTCAGAGACAATGATTTCTGGAAGTGTTCCTGAGCCCATGCAGTGATTTCCAGTACAGAATCATGCCTGTTTTTAATGCAGTGCCGCCTGAGGGCCCGAAGATCACAAGCATCTAATAGTCACCGTTGGCCTTGTCCTTTGCATACAAGTAGATTCCAGATTTTTCGGAAACAATTTTTAGACGCAGTTTTTTGCAGATTGGTGAAGCTCTGCCCATCTTTGCTTCTGAGAGACTCTGCCTCTCTAAAATGCTCTTTTTATATCCAGTCATGTGAGTTAGTTGCAAATTGCTCCTTCAGCTGTTTTTTTTTATTAGTACCATTTACTTTTCCAGCATTTTGTTGCCCCTGTCCCAGCTTAATGTTTTTCATTAATTGGTAAAATGTCTCACTTTCAACATCCGATGTGTGTTCTATGTTCTATTGTGAATAAAATATGGGTCTATTCTTGCATTAATCATTACAATCTGTTTTTATTTACATTTTACAACAATTTTCTGGAATGGGGTTGTAAATTCATCCATTTTTTTTTTTAAAACAGAGCTGTGTAACAGCAGCAGGACAGTTTCCATGTGTGCCAGAGGGGGTGCAAACCCATAAAAACATCTTCACTCAGTCTGAGTTTGGTCAACTTCTGAAAACATGCGCATTAACAGTAATGTTGTCTTGCACACTTGCCCAGAGTGGTGGGCAGCCCTATCCACAGCGCCCGGGGAGCCTGTGCACTTCAGTCATGTCCTGTCAGCTCTGGGGATTGAACCAGCGACCTTCCGGTCGCAAGGCTGGTTTATTGTATTTGCTCCTTTAGGGCACTTTCACTACCTTGTTTGGTGTCAAACTGTTTTGTTAGTTCAGTTTGGTGTTAACACTCTACCTATACTCTGGTGCACACTAAACAAACCATGGTTCAGCAGAAATCGCAGGTCTGTCTTTGCTTTGAAGTGAGCCCTGGATCAGTTCACTGCTGTAGTTAATCTGAATGTCTGTGTCAAATGAAGGAACCAAACATCAGAGCATGCTTTCCTCTTCTTCTAGCAGCAGCACATCAGCACTGTACTGCCTGCATAATCTGCCTGTTTTTAATGTCTGACATACTCATATCCTTTTTGCAGCACATCGCTGCTGTCAGGACAAGACCTCATATCGCCATTTTTCAGTTTTTTGCATAATTTGAAAATGCCTTTTCATGGTGAAAGAACCAATAGAAGTGGCCCAAAAATACTTGGAAAAACATCTGATTCCATTGACTTACATTGAAAGTAAAGTGGGTTTTTTCCTTCTCCTGTAAAGTTACCATTTTTGAGATGCAAGGTTTTGTTCCAGCAGCAGCGACATGCTGCTGTTAGTAACAGTAGACAAGCAGGAAGAAAAAGCAAAGGAAATAGATTTGATTTTGGCACATAGATCATGTAATGTAGTGCACGCATGATTGGTTACATTCAACTTGACAAACCAGCCACAGTTTTAGCAGATATATATACTAAGGTTTATTATTATTGCTTTGACTGTGATAAGCATAAGTATTAAGCATCTCTATTTTCATGCAAAGTCAGAGTTTTTTGGCTCAAATGGTTGCCATTTTTTTTCCATTTTTGTTTTGAACAGAATACTCACTGTCTGTCTTTCAAATGCATTGGGCCTAAAAAATACAATTTTATCACTGGTACTACTTGATTCCAGTTTTCATGTGTTCAGAGTGTTCAAAACCCTGTCAAGCCTGATGTGGAGGTTTCAGTGCGATCAAAATTGCTGCTTTCATCTGTAATCAACTTTGAAAACTTTAGTTTTGATTGGTTAGTCATTGTGTGGACTTTTCAGAGTTTCAGATCACGATCGAAGCGAAGAGGAAAGAAAAATAAATTCCACGTATTAATTTCATCTCTTATCGATAATTATTGATAATCACCAAGTGGTCCCGGCGACAATGCTTATATACTGCAGCAAATACTAGAAGTTTAAAAAAAAAAAAATGGAAAATTGGCTTTTTTGTTTTATGGTCCGTTCAAAGGCAGCTCCACTGAGCTCTTAGGGCACCGTGCAGATGAAACACCATAAAGAAGGTAAACTGGGTATGTTTGGTGCTGCTATGGTACGACATCATTCACTGATATGGGAAGTGTTCACTCGATCAGAGGAACGGTATCACTGCGAGGCTGTGCAGGGGGAAAAAGAGCCTTTTTACACAGTGCAGTTCTCCATTTCCTCTCAATCTGAATGAAATTGATTTCTGTGTTTGTGTCTCTGTAGCAGGATCAGTTGTACACGTGGGCTCCAGTGAGTCAGCCCCCTCTGTCACTGGAACATTTTGAGGGTCGTTTACCGGGACACCTCAAGTCTCTGTGGCCTCCGGCCCGGCCCGAAACGGAGGACAGACCTGGGCTCAAATACACTGAAGCAGGTACAAACACACACAAACACACTCACACACACTCACACACACTCACACACACTCTCTCTCACTCACTCTCACTCTCTCTCTCTCTCTCTCTCTCTCTCTCTCTCTCTCTCTCTCTCTCTCTCTCCTTCATAAACTGAGTAAAATTCAGTTGGACTTCCTAGACATGCACACAGACTTTCCATGATTACAAACAACAAGGCTTTATAAACTCTCTTTATTCTCTGTCTCTCTCTCTCTTCTTTTTCTCTTTCTTTTTCTCCTCACTTGCTTTCAATCTTATTCTCTCTCTCTCTCTCTCTCTCTCTCTCTCTCTCTCTCTCTCTCTCTCTCTCTCTAACCTGACATCATTCTCCCACTTTTCTCTTACTTGCCCCTTCGTGCTTTCTGGTATAGTAATCACCCTCAGTCACCCTCTTTTCTTCCATCTTTAGTCTCTCGCTTTCACTCTTTCTCTTTTTTTTTCCTCTTTTACTTGCTCTTTCTTCCACTCACTTTCTTTCCTTTTGTTTTTTTTTCTTTCATTTGCCATTTTCTTTCTTTCTATTTCTTTCTTTTGTCTCTTTCTTTCCCTCCCTCTTTTCTTTTTCACTCACTTATTTTCTTTTTCTTTCGCTCTCTTTCTGTCTTGCTCTTTTTTTGCTCTTTCACTTGATCTTTTTCACTCACTCTTTCTTTCCTTGTCTTTTGTTTCTCTTTTTCTTTGCTATTTTCTATTTCTTTCAGTTACTTTTTGTTTGTTCTTTTTCTTTACTTTCTCTCTTTCCCTCCTTTTCTTTCTCATGTACTTATTTTCTTTCTTTTTCCTTCACTCTTTTTGTCTGTCTTTATTTCTGTTTTTCTGTCGTTCTTCCTCTCACTCTTTCTCTTTTGAGAGAGAGAGAGAGAGAGAGAGAGAGACTGTTTAAAATATACACTCTCATTCACTCCTCACTGTTTTTGTCGAGCAGGTTGAGCTCTGACTTCTACTCCAGGGCTGGTGGGTGGGAGGGGACTGTGTGTTTTGGTTAGGTTTAAAAGTTTTTATGTCTAAACTTGGTGTCTCTCCTTTTGTGCATTGAAACCCATAGAGGACGATGAAGGTAAGTAATTCATCATATTTTTAAAAATAACCTGCAACAGTCATTCTGTTCCTGTTCATTCAGGCTACTACGTAGGCAGTGTTAGGCATGCTAACACACTTCATTTTTCCATTTTATTTATTAATTTATTTTTTTGGTTTTTGTTGTTTACATCAGCCAGTGCAGTGGAATGTTGCCTAGCAACAGGAAGTGACTCAGAAAACTGCAAATTCAGGCAGCGCCCTGTTTTCTGTCTCTTTCTGGGCAGGCCTTACTTGACTTTCAGAACTACCTCTAAAACACTCATTTATCAATGTTCAAGTAACAACATGGTCATTAGAGTCAGAACATCCAGTCTCCTACGAACTGTACACAAAGAAGCTGTTTAATCATTCTGAAATGCTCACGCTGGTAGTAAAAGGACTGCATTTATAGCTTATTTACACAGCACTAGTGAAATTCATAAGTATATTAAACATGTACAGTATCATTTTTTTATTATTGTGTATTAAAAATAACTAATAATCAAAGGTCATAATTGTTAGTGATACTCATGGATGCATAAGAATACATTTCTGTTCAAATGTTTGAAATCAATAATATAAAACTAATTTGATTGCACATAATTGCATAAAATTATGCGATTTCACAGGTTTCATATAATTAGTTTTGTCCAGAATGATAAACTGAGCTGTAGATGATTACAAAATGATTAAGGAAGCTGTATCATCAAAAATGAACTTATTATTAAGTAATAATTGCCTTTTTTTGTTTTTTTTTTAAAGTGGTGGTCAAACCTTGAGGTAGAAAACCTGGCAACAATTACTGTAAACAGAGAATTGCAGTATTTGATTTATCATATTCTTTTTCATCCCCAAATTCTCAAAATATTGAATAAAACATATCTGCTGTCTAGTTTATAGGATTTAAATATCGTCGCTGTCCAAAGAAAAACAAGTATCTCCTAAATAGTAACTTTACAGGAGAAGGCACAAACACTCTTAGCTTTCAAAGTAAGTTAATGTAAAGAGATTTTACTCCAAGTAATTTCAGAGCATTTCTATTGGTCCAATCATCATGAAGTGTTCACACAATGTAAAGGACAGCTGGTGTGTTGAGAGGATGTAGAAAGATAAAAATTGATAAACATGGAGATACATGGGTTTCTTTAGACAGCGGCGATATTCAGTATATAAATTATGATCGCAAATGATTCCAGACACTTGAATGGTGATGTATCTGTGGGTGAGGCATTGAAAGTTGATCTTTGGTAAGGTGCACTTTTAGTACTGTTATTGCAGTGTCACAGAACTCTCTTTTTATTGACCATAACATCATCCTGCGCTTCATTTGCTGTGATTTACCATTTGTGTGTTTATCTGTTTATTTGTTACATGCAGCACTTACGTACATCATACATCACAAATCCACCAATAGAGTCTGGCTGCAGACATGCACTCTCAGCCCCAGTGACGTCACGTGCACATGCACTCTCTGCCACAATGGCAGAAGCGGCCCAACGGCATGTTAACTTTTGGCTGCTGTTGCTTAGCGATATCATCACTTAATCCATTTTTCATCCATAACACGGCTAGATAATTATATTTAATGTACTTCCTGTTGAAAAAGTCATAGAACCCATTAAAAGTGTCTGTTGGTTCCTGGTGGTTTTCAGTAGTCACTAATGAGTCACTACTGTGTTTTCCTATTGGGTTCATATCACAGTTCAAAGAATTCTAATCGTTTAATCAGGTGTTTTGGGACTGATTCAAGTTACATTTGCTTGTTTCCTAAAGGTCTCTAATGGCAACCATCAAGCCAATTTCCATTAGGAAACAAAACCATCAGGTTTTATTCCAAACGGTTCTATTTGTCTAATGGATGGTTTTCATGAGTTTCGGCAGTAGCCTGTTTGTTTTTTTTTCTGCGAATAAACCCGACATTCATGTTTTATCGTTGTGGTAGGTTTTATTTTGAAAGTTTCCATATTTAATTACGTTATTATCAGTATGACAACATTAATATACGCTCAGTGTAACTCTTGTTGCCCAGCAGTACGTGGTTCACTGTTTTTCCCCCCATAAAACCGTGGCAGAGTGCGCACTGATGTCATGAATAGGCTGGAGGTGCATGTCAGGCTGAGAGTGCATATCTTCAGTCACACCCTTCTCAAATCCACTAACACCTCATTATCCACTGCTCATCAGACTCTAACACTGTTCTGTGTGTTATCAGGCTGGATGAGGTGGTGAATCATTACAGCTGTGTGATATTTGATAGTTATGTTGACCCAGAAATCTTTGGTTGTGTTTGACCTGATATATGCTGTCAAATACCAGCGGTTTTCTTGTCAATTTTACTACAGATTTGCAGTTTAATCACAACAGATATTTATGAATATATGAATCACTACAGGCCCCATGATATTTACAATACTTGAGCCTTGATTCTATTTTTTGTACAATGATATTGCAGTACATTACGATTTATTACTTTTGACAGTAAATTATTCCTCCAAAAGAAAACTTTGTTGTGTCTAATAGAGTTTACACTTTTTTCACTTCCCTTCAGTCTTTATTGAAGCAAATAAAACTCTCAACACATTCAAATTTAACATCAAAATCTCACCGTGTACATATTTAGCAGATGCTTTTATGTGTGAAGTAGACTAATGTTTAAAACAAGATTTAGCTTCATGTCTAACAAATGCTTTTATCCATGGTTGTTTACAATGGCAGCCAAATGTAAAAGTAATCTCACCATGTGACTCTTATCAGTATATTATAATGTTACTGACATAAACAAAGAAACAGCGCCATCTCATGGATTAAGAAAAAACTCCTTTGGTGATTTATTAGTCTGACAATGGGTTTAGTACATATTAAAATATGAATAATTAAATAAGGTATCAATACTTTGGCCTGCATGTATCTGCATACATTTTAAACACCAAATATTACAATATTATTCTGTACTGATTTTTTTCCATATAACATTTTTTTTGTATTACACAATTTCAAAACACTAAAGATAAAGTCCAAAATAGTACATTTTTAGAATAGATTCTCATCTCATTCCATAGTCTTACACCAAAATTTAAGAATTTTTTCCAGAAATGGGATGTTTTGGTATGACCGACAATAGTTAATGTATAGTTAAAATAGTTCAGCTTTTGTTGTTTTAGTTTTTTATAGTAATAATCTAATTTTCGATGAATTGTGAAACTAAGTGTCAAGATTTCATTTTTATGCCATATTGTCCAGCCCTGATTTGGCACACTGGGGGTCTTGGCTCTGTGTGTGTGGCTCGGACTTGTGCTGGTATTGGTGGTGTTTCTTTAATTGGTCATTTCATTGTGTAGCTCATTATATTTACGAAAATATGGTGCACTTATCCTGTTCACTGTGTGTGTTTCAGAGCACCAGGCTGTTATTTTAGGGCTGAAGAAACAACAACAGGAGGAGATTACAGAGATTCAGGTACGTCTCATTCATTTCCGCTCTATATGGAAGATTTCTTTAGCTTCCTGTTTCTCCCTTCACACCAAAAACATGGCTGTGTGTGTGTGTATATATATGTATGTGTATATATATGTGTATATGTGTATATATATGTGTGTGTGTGTGTGTGTGTGTGTGTGTATATATGTATATATATATATATATATATATATATATATATATATATATATATACACACATACATACATACATACATACATACATATATATACACATATACATATATATACATTGCATGCATATATATAATATATATAATATATATATATATATATATATATATATATATATGCGCATATGCATGCAAGTGCATTAATAGGTTTCTCTGCGTCACTCTGAGATAGAAGGCAACTTTAGCAATATTTCTCAAACGATGAAAAGCTACTTTAGTGTGTTTATTTGTGGGATAAAACAACTTGGAATCTAAGATGTACGCTCATGTTTTGTATAAAGCTAAAGAACCGAGCTCAGATACAGATATCAGAATTAATCACAATGTACATCCCTTGATTACCAAAGGAAATGAAACGATTTCCCTCAAATTATTAAATGAAAAGAGAAACCGTTTAATTGTCTGCAGTAGCAATGAAAAGAACTGAAAGGTTATAACAGAGTCCAGTGAGCTGGTGATTTATTACTTTCCCACTGGCTTCTATTTTGAGTGTTTTGAGTCAGCAAGTTTTCAGTGGTTTCCTAAGTACATAGAAATCTGTGGTAATTGACCAAATGCTAATGCAGCAGTTGAAAAACAGCATTCCTTTAATATAGGAGCTTTTTAGTAGAAGTTCATTTGAGATAAAAACAAAAGTGTCAGTACTTGTTTCCCCTCACTTAGGTCAACAGTATGTGAACATACATGCTGTGTTTTTTGAGGTGGGGTGCTTTTATTGCATGGGAGATTGTGCTGTCTTGTCAGTCCGATTGTAAAATCTAAATGACGCCGATGTTATTGATATTTAATGGCTGCTGTGTCATTGGCTAAATGTGTGCGCCTTATTCTGTTACCGCAATCACACAGTTTTGAATACTCCAATTTCATTCAAACAGTTGAGTACTCAATCAAGGTTCAAGAGGCTTTGTCATTTATTGTCATTATTCGTTTATATTGTCAGCTCTATACAAGTACGCAGTGAAATTAAACAACATTCCTCCAGGACCAACACAGGAACACAAGTGCAATATAGTTCAATATTCGCAGTGCAGACAATGCAGTGCAATAAATACGAAAGAAAACTTAATAAACACAAAACAGAACCCAGGCAGTACACGGTACTGAGAGTATGTGGAGTTGTGCAAAGGAGGATGTAACATGCTATGACATATATTAGCAGATTAGCAGATAGCCCAGCATATATGAGCATAGCAGTCACTGAGGTAGCAACCAGAACATCAATGGAATACTCAGTCACCCACTTCAACAACGGTACTGGTAACATAATGAAACACGCATTAGAGCCAAAGTCAGGGAGGAGGACGAAATGTCTTTGCAATGCATTTACAGCTGTAGACCAGTAGAGGGCAGCATCAGTGTAGTTTTGAGTTGGGCACTGAATTTGGAAAGTTGGCCGTTTGGATCCTCAGGTAAGACTAATCCAGCTCTAATAGGACTTCGGAGTCTGTCAGTCTGCTAATTGCATTCATTTTATTTATTGATTGATTGATTTATTGATCTGTCTTTTGTTTTTGTTTACTTGTTTATTTTACAAGTCAATTATACTTGGGTATTTCTGCAAATGTAGCTGGTGAATCTATGTACAAGTTTGAAGTTTATTCGGCTTTAAAGAGCTTATTGATGATAACCAACCAATTATGGGACTAACTCGCTCACCACTACTTGCAAATTATGCAACACTGTTTAAAAATATTTACGGCATTTTCACTGAAACACTTTATTTGATATGGCTGTAGATTTGAATACATTTTACTTCACTTTAACATTGTTAGATGCTAGAATTACTGTATCAACCAAATACTGTATACTGTATATTGCTGCTCTGGTTGCTACCTCAGTGACTGCTATGCTCATATATGCTAGGCTATCTACTAATCTGCTAATATGTCATAGCATGTTACATCCTCCTTTGCACAGCTCCACATACTCTCAGTGCCGTGTACTGCCTGGGTTTTGTATTTATTGTAAGTCTTTCATATTTATTTATTGTGCTGTATTTTCTGCACTGTGTATATTGTATTGTTTTGCACTTGTGTTCCTGTGTTGGTTCTGGAGGAATGTTTCGTTTCACTGTGTACTTGTATACAGCTGGAATGGCAATAAAGCCTGACTTGACTTGACCAAGTCAGATGCAACTCAGAAAAAAAATGCCAAAATAATTGTAATTCTACAGCCCAGTTCAGATTGGAGTAGTTAATCAGTTTACTGCAGGATGAATGAATTTCTGATGGGTTGTATTTTCTCACAACCTAGGTGATTGTCAGACTTAATAACAATAAATAAAACAAATAACAATAAAAAAAATAACAATAGCCAGAAAAAACGAACCAAATAACCAAAATAATATATATTACACTGCAGCTCAAAGTATTTCATGATATTTTTTATTAAAAATGGCAAGAAAAGTGCAAAAATTTTAGCTGACAAGTATAATGGAGTATTATTAAAATGTCTAGCTGAACTCAGTTTATTGTGGCAACATAATTTTTTTTACTCTTATTTTTAATTGTTAATATTTTGACTTTGGTGCCCCCGTCTGGTGTGCTGCTGTGCTGCTGTATTGCACATTGCTATTTCTGCTGTCTCAGTTCAGGAGATGATTAGCAGACTTGGGCGGTCCTGCTGTGAGTTTTTTTGGGGTATCCAGTGCTTACAGGCCTCAGGGGCAGAATTAGGCCTACTGTTCTTCAGGGACAGTGTGGGGGCGACTCTGTTTTCCTTCTCTTGCTCTGAGAGATTGGCCCCAAATGAGCCTCATCAAAACAGTCAGCCACCACGCTGACTCGGTTTCAGACATTCCCCCCACTACAGAGCGTTTTCAGAACAGTGCGACGGGCGGCCCACACTTATACGGTAGTGATTTTGGTTTGGGTTGTTTGGCAAAAATAGAAGTATGACAGATTCAGAACTTGTGACAGTTTCTGTTTCTCATCATTTCTTCCTCTCTTGCTCTCTGTCTGTCTGTCTCTCCGTCCCTCTCTTGCTCCCTCACTCTCGTAAGACTGAGTGGATGATGGTTCCTGTTTTGTCAGCAAACATATTACATTGTCATTTAAAATGGTTTTGTGTATCTGTTATCAACCCAGCAGGAAGCCTTAATCATACCATATTCATTTCTTTCCTTCTCTGTCCATTCGCTTTTCTCTCTTTTGCTCTGATTTTTTCCTCCCATTTTCTCCTGTTCTTATCCTCTTTTTTCTTTTTTTTTTCTTCCTGCTCCTTTTTCTTTCTTCGTATCTCACTTTTTCTTTTTTTCATTTCTGAGTTATTTTCACTCTCATTTCTCCTCTTTCTATTCTCTCTTTAATTCTCATCACTTCACCTTCTGTCCTAATTATTCTCTCACAACTCTTTACTGTTTTCTTCTCTTTCATTCTCGTTTTCTCTTATTTTTTCTATCTCGTTTGCTTTTTCCTTCTCTTTTCCTGGTTCTTTCTGGTCTTTCCTCTGTCTGATCATGGTTGCCTTCCTCTGTTTCTCTCTCCTTTTGTATTTTTTTTTTCTTTCTTTTCTCTCTCCCTCTCTACTTTTCATTTCTCTCTTCCTTTTTTGATATTCTTTCCTTCCCATTCTCTCTTACTATTCTTTATTTGTTTTCTCTTACCTCTCATTCTCTTTTCTACGGTTTTCTTGTTTCTTTTGTCTCTTATCTAATCTTTCTCTCTCTCTCTATCTCTCTCTCTCTCTCTCCAGGAGGAGTCGATGTTGAAGACGGTTCGTTTGAAGCGTGAACATGTGACTGTGATTGAGCAGCTAGAGCAGACCATAGAGGATCTGCGCAGTAAAATCGCTGAGCTGGAGAAACAGCACCCCCTGCTGGACAGAGACAGCATCAGCACGCAGGACCGCGAGTGCGGAGGGGACGACAGCCTGCTGCCCGATGTCTGCCATGTGGATCTGCAGACAGAGGCCTCTTCTTCTCTTCTCCCATTAGAGGCCAAATCGGTTCAGACTTCCCCCGTAGATGAGAGCTTTAAGTTTAAAGTGCCTTCCCCAGACCAGGGTCCGTCCGAGCAGCCTGTGGCCGGACTGAGCGAGCCTCCTGGGCCGGCTCCTGGTTCTCCAAAAACAGGACAGTTTGTGTGTACATGCCAGCAACAGCAGCCACAAGAGACTCCATCCCATCCTCCCCCTCCCCCTCCTCCTCCACTTCCTCCTTCATTACCTGGCTTTCCTGCACCTCCACCTGCCCCACCTTTACCTGGACTGCCCCAACCACCTCCCCCTCCTCCATTACCAGGGATTTCTGCCCCTCCCCCTCCACCACCCCTACCTGCTACTGCTCTACCTCCACCACCTCCTCCTCTACCTGGCTGCCCTGTACCACCACCACCCCCTCCTCCTCCTCCACCACCTTTACCTGGCCAAGCTGTAATACCTCCGCCTCCTCCATTACCTGGGACAGGTGTCCCTCCTCCGCCTCCTCCATTACCTGGGACAGGTGCGCCCCCACCGCCTCCTCCATTACCTGGGACAGGTGCGCCCCCACCGCCTCCTCCGTTACCTGGGACAGGTGCGCCCCCACCGCCTCCTCCGTTACCTGGGACAGGTGCGCCCCCACCGCCTCCACCCCCACCAGGACTGCCTGCACCTCCAGGGGCTTGTGGCCCCATCCCCACATTTGCCCTGGGATCTCTACCCCCTCCCCTTCCTCTCGGACTCTATGCTCTGGGGGTAGCTCAGGAGAAAGCCCCCCGGAAAGGGGTGGTGGAACCCCCCAGGCCCATGAAGCCTCTCTACTGGACCCGGATTCAGATCCACGCCAGAAAGTAACCCTGCCAGACGCTTATTTGTGTCTTGTTTTTGCTAGCTTTTAATGCATTTTGACACTTTTACAAAAATTTGGCTGAAGCTTTCATGCAACTTAACTTACATTTAAAGCCTCTTCAAGCAACTCACTGATGCTTGATATTCCAAACACGATTTGAAAGTAGGCCACAGCCAGTTTCATATAATGTCCTGTCTAAATATCAGTCTCGTACTATGGTACAATTTCAGATGGTTGATTTTCAATCAACACATCATGGACAAGTAATTAAAATAAAGGGCTGTCTCATATGCTGATCCTTCTGGTAAGCAGTTGGCTGAAGCCGGGGTTACACTACACAACTTTTACCCCAGTTTTAGCCCCTATTTTCAGTCTGTCCAAGTCTGAGAAAATTTAGTAGTGTGCAAGGGGCACAGGAGACTTTTTTTGCTTTCAATCACGTATCAGACCAGTTGGAGTACGTCATACGTTTAATGTTTTAGCGCAACAGAAGAAAATACAGGACATAAAAAAAAAACAGTAAAAAACACATTTGTAGCTACACTTTTTCATGAACTGGGTTTAAGGTGTGAGCACAAGTGAGTGCATGTGCATGTACATCTAAAACTCTAAAAATCACATTTACATCCATGATTCACTTAAATTTCCCTGTTGCTTCTTTCCTATATCAGCGCAAATGGCAGTAAAAAAGGGAGCACCAGCAAGCTGCTCCACGTTTTTGTGCTCCTAGTAACAGGAGAATATGTGTGAGGCTAAATAACACATTGCAGATGCCTTTATTTAAGCAGAATGACACATTATATGGAAAATAAAAATTAGGTACTAATGAAATGTTACATGCGACTGTAAAGTTTTACACAGTTTAATGCAACTTGCAACATGCAGCTAGTTGCATGAAAGTTTCACTCTGTAAATCCAGCCTTTGTCATGTGTTGCTTGGAGGACCTGATTTAAATGTCATAAGTTGTGAATTATCTTGTTTTGTAATGTAAGGATTAAAGTATACTCCATTGAATCTCTGCTATGTTGATCCACAAGCAGCTTAATTTGTGTCTCGTTACACCGAGTGTGCCCTTATCTATGCCAACAATATAAAAAGTTTTGGGATTTGTTAAAATGAGACAAAATGGCATTTGGAAATGGTTAAAATGAGACAGACTACACTTGGGTGGATGTCAGTATACCTGGGGGTCCTCCTGAGTATAGCCTGTGTGTGGGAAGCGCTGGTTAGGACCCGGCTGATATATTGATTAGCCAGTATCATTTTGGCTGTAATACATGGTTGTGTTTGTAACATTCTTTTTGTCTTTTGCCAGAGATGCAAACCCTCTGGTCTGGGACAAGATTGAGGAGCCACCGGTGAACTTTGAGGAGTTTGTGGAGCTCTTCTCCAAAACAGCAGTTAAAGAGAAGAAAAAGCCTCTCTCTGATACAATCACCAAATCTAAGACCAAGCAGGTGAGCCTTGTACCCGTCCCATTTTCAACTGTAAGTTTCCTTGTGCTAAGGAAGCCTAGGCTTCGGAGATTACATGCCAATAAAGACTCCCATCCCAAGCTAACTAACCTCCCTCCCAAAAATGTGAACATTTCAACGTGAGTATGAGTGGACAGAGCTAAACCTGGGTCCATACACAAAAGCTGAGGTAGGGCAGGTCATTGGTAGGACTGTCCTATGAAGACTCCTCCTTAGTAGCCTATTGGTCACACAAATGGAAGTCCTAACGAGGCTGTGTGGTGACGTCACAACAAAGATCCCACATCTTGCGATCATGGCGCGAAACTTGAGAGGGAACTGGTGAGAGAAAATGGAGCCTTTTACATTGTTTTTGTTGCTGTGGCAGCTAATACACCACCAAGCTTATGTAGTACGATAAAGTACATGTATACAAATACTTCTGATCAAAATACGATATATGGACGAATGCTTTAATCAGTCGGTTTGCACTTTATAAGGTAATGAAGACGAATTCAAGGACGTGGACAACTTGCGTTTTAAAACGAGCTCTGCTCCAGCGGCTCTGTTTTCTGCCGTTTTTGTGGTGCTGTTTTTTTTTCCTTCATGTCATTCGTGCACAGAGAACTGTGGGTACCGGAAGGCCTAGAAGGATACATCGGTTGCGTCCTCTAAATCACTGAGAACGTAGCCTGCATTTCCACGCTGTATATAAAGGGTCCTTCACTTTGGAGCGGCTCCTATGATGTAGCCTCAGGAAAATGCAGCCTAGACTTGGGAACGCAGCTACTGTCTCCCAATCAGCTGCAGAATAGATTTCAAGATGCTATAATTCTTCAAACCACTAAACAGACTAGGTCCTAATGACATTGCTTACAAATGTGTAATCGTACACATGTGGAAGAACATATTGCAGCGTCGGTTGTTCTTCTGACCCCTTTCCGAGAGGGGATGAATCTGATTATTACAAGCATGTTAAGAAGAGTATTCAAAGAGAACTCTGTCAAAACTTGGTGAAGGATGTGTCTTTCGAGGATTTGAGTGAAATTATCTACTGTATTAATCATTTCTTTATCAGTATTAATGTTCATTTTGCTTTTTTTTTTTGTTTAAGGCCAAATTCAACAAGTCAGAGAGAAAGGTGACTCCCTTTTAGGGCCCCAGTGTGGATTTTATGGCGACGTGAACATGCAGCACAGACGTTTATATTTATCTAAACCAGTGCCCAGAGCTCCACTAGGCCATAAATACCACCTGTACCTGAACATCTTGAACTACTCTCACCTTTCAGCTGCTGCGCTCTGTCTTCTCTCTGCAGTGTTGATTGATATTAACGTTCAGTGCATTTGTGTGTGCTATGAGCTCAGTGTCTTGCGTGAGCTGTCCAGTCCACTTTGTTCCCTGCACTTGCATCATGTTTTACGCTGCTAAGGATTAGAAATATTATTAATATTATTGAGCTTTTTTGGCACAACGCAGTTCACATTGTGATACTTGTGCTGTTTTTGTAGAAATAAGCAAATGCTCAGGTATCAGTCATTCATGCGGTCAGACCACGTCCCACTCTGAGACACTCGACTATTACATCAATAATAACACTGATCCTTATTCATCAAAGCTATATAGAAATGGGTGCAGCTCAGGATGCCAGTAAAGATGTAAGAACTGTTACATGTTACGTTAAACTGTTGACATCGAAAGAAGTGGTTTGAACTGACCCATCCATACTCTGCTCATAAATGTGTTCCTTTGTAGAAACTGTTGCTAGGTTGAACATGCTTTAGATCGGGGGTGTCAAACTCAACCACTAAAAGGGCCATATTAAAGCATCTCAACCTAATCTGTGGGCCAGAGAATGCCTTTTTTATATATAAATAATATTTTGCCATTACCATAACTGGCTATTTTATTTCTCAATTTGGCAAAACGTTAACAGCACTTGTTGTAGACCTTGAAATATTACATGAATACTCAATTTTCAAAAAAATGTCCCCAGATGGTCGGTCTTTTAAACCTACCTATTTTCTTGATCTAGACTGGCATCTTTTCTTTGCTGCAAGTTTATTAATTGCGATCAGCTTATGAGCTGCTAAGTGTTTATAGTGTTTATGTTGGTTGAACTGCAGCTGAAATGCAGCTAGTGTTTGGTGATATGACAGGTGAGGTAGAATTGAGATGTAAGCTGTCCCATAGATTGTTTCTGGGGGAGGAGGGTGGGAGCACACATTACGTTGCAGTGCATGTTGGGGATTGTAGTGCAGCACATTGTGAAATGAGCTAATTTTAAAAGAAAAAAATTATGTAATTAAATAATAAAATTAAATAATTATGTGGGCCAGATAGGGTTGTGTTGCGGGCCTGATCTGGCCCGTGGCCCTTGTATTTGACACATGGGCTTTAGAGAGAATATTAGCAGAAATCCCATTCAATCTGACTAGGAGGTTAAGATTTGCTACATAATGTTGGGTTTCCAGTTGTAAGTTTTATGTAACCATGCTCAACTATATGCTTGCTAATGCAAAAAGTAATGTTTGTCCTAATAATGAGACTGCATAAACATGTAAGATAAATGTCATTTGAAGGTAACATGCTCTACATTGCTGTGTTTTGACTAATACTACTTGTTTGCTGCATTTTCTTATTATTTTGACCCCCCCCATCCCCAGTGTGCTACCAGGCTTGTTGTCGGTTGTACAACGTGGACAAGTGCACAATCACCCACTGCTCTGCATGACAAGGCTTTAGATTGGTTTAGCAATTTCACACTTAGTTTTTTCCCACCTGAATAAGTCAACAATCCCACCCATATTAAGCCCCAATCCCATTTCATCAGTTTAAAATTGAAGGTGAAATGGGAAAATTCGAATAAGAAGCTGGTGGATAGGTGACTACAGCTTCATATTGCCAAAGAATTAGGGGTAGGCGAAAAATAAGTGTTGTATCCTTGCCTCTTTAAAGGCATATGACACCCTAAAGTTCACGAAAGACCAGCAGCGACTTACTGAACTTTACCCTCCTCTGATATCTACAGACTGGCAGTGCTGCCTACAAAGCACCACTAAGATTTCTAACTGTTAAAGCATCTAAGCCACACTACATCTTTTTGGAGACAGTCCTGTGTACTATTGTACAGTTCATTCAAGCAGTTTGATACATTAAAAAAACATATGATTCAGTTCATATTAATAACAGTCCACATCACTTGGACCATCTGTTTGTAGGCAGTATCTGTACGCATCACTGCTTACTGAACAGTGCCTTCCTCCGTAGCCTTCGCCTTGAGCCACTATGAATATGCATAATTTTTCCGATCAGGTTAGTTTGCAGGTGATGTCTGGCCAGCCTTACTGACCCGTTAGTGGGCAACGGTGACCCGTCTCCCTCAACAACCTCCCTCAAGCCACTTTTCTGGAATTTTGACCGTGGTTCTTTACCGCAACCCAGCTTCTGTCCCCTGTGGGTGAAGACGGTCCTCCAGGTTTCGTACATACCTTCAGCTGCACAGTGAAATCATTAATACAGGAGTGGTATCTGTTTCACTTGTGTGCGCAGTCCAGGGATGTAAATGTCTGACCCCACTTCAGTTCTGCTACAGTTCTTAAGGAACAATTTAAACCATGAAATTTTAGATTTCACCAAGATTCGATGCTTTTATTTGACAGAAGAATTATTTACACAGTAGTAAAACTTTTTTTTTCCTTAAGTTTAATGTGAAAGTAACATTTTTAGACATAGTCTAGCCTGCACCCTCTTAAATAGGATGGCCATGACCAATTTGATGGATAAATCAATAAACAACCAACGAAATTCTTCACTACTAGTCAGTACTGGTGCCTGAACTGTCATTTTTGATGGGTTAGACCAATATATGAATTATGACCAAATTATAATGGTGAATTAAGAATCTTTCAAGCACTGCATTTGGAAAAACTACATTAGGAAACATCACCTTGCTTGCTGACCAGATCACAGAACTTATAATAGAAAAAATAAGAGCTCTTAGTAGAAAAAATTTACATGCATCCTTTTACTGATGATTTCTGGGATTTCTGGCTTCAGTGTTTAATGAGCTGGTTGATGATTGTTCCACACTGGAGAGCTGTTTGTAGTTACTGTTTATCTAGTGCTATATGGTGTGCTCAGTCACATTTATGCTTAAAACAAACCATGTTCACAAGGTTTTCATCCTTAAATCCATATGTAACTGTCCTCTCAACGTTTATCTCTAGATCGCTGACAGGATCAAGTGTCTCATGCATTTATGATGCGCCTGTAGATTTAGCCTTAAAAACTGTAGCTGTGAGTTTGAGTGTGTTAGGTGCTCAGGAGGTTATTGGTTATACAGAGTTTTTGAGTTGTTTGTCAAAAATGAATTTTTTGGGTTATTTATTCATAAGAACGTAATGTTAAGTAAATTTGAGCAGTTATTTTGAGTGGGCCTTGGACCACTGGGACCAGGTGTAAGGCCTATTCACACATTAAGATTTTCACAGGCACAAAAGTGCATGTCAGGTTTTGAAAATGAGCACAGTTATATTAATGCTGTCTTTCACATTGAGTCCAAAACTGACTGACTGCAGCGCTGCATTATTTTAATTAGAGCCTGCTTGATATTCTGTGTGGTACGGATACATTAAAAATCATGCTGACCACTCAGAGCTCTGATGTCGTGGTTGCAGCCTAAACAGATGTGCATCAAGATGCCGGCAGGTGGAGGTTAAAGAAAATTTGATGGACCACAGCTGAAAGGCCTGAAAGTGCATCCTAGTCCAGTCAAGCCCACAAAGATCCTCAAACTATTAGCCTCTGTCCCTAATGAACACTCCTTTTTAAAGAGTGGAGCAACAAGCAGAAGCAGAGCCTTAAAATACCTTCAGAATTGCTTGTTATGCAGTGTCAGCTCCCCATGTTGTCTTTTCTATAGAATGGGGTGAACCCAGTGTGCGTTTGTCATTTAGTTCCCATCATTGCTATGCAAAGAAACCATTTCTTTTTGCTCTTTC